ATTTGGACTATATGCAGTTGGTTGGAGTAAAACAAAATAACATAGCTATAGGTTGAGTTATAAAAAAATTTGTCGCATGTCTTGTGTTATTAAATTTATTAAATAAGTTCTATTTATTAGAGAAATTACATTTGTTCTTCCTCTTTCTTTTTTCCTTCGTTTTTTAGGGTATTTCTTTATTCTTCTCTTTAACTGAAACTCTTATAATTTTTTAATTTCTTTTTATAAGAGATATTACATTTGTTCTTCCTCTTTCCTTTTACTTCATTTTTTTAGGGTATTTCTTTATTCTTCTCTTCATCTCAAACTCTTATAATATTTTGAACAAACAATAATGACCATCTTAAGATCATAGAAAATTTTTGAACAAAAGACACAAAAATTACTATTGCCGAGACCAAATTATAGAAAAAGACCCACTCGACATATTATTTTGAGCACAATAAAAACTCATTTGACAAAACCACTACATCAGTGAATAAAACCAGTTATTAAGACTAAATGATCTAGAACACTAAAATTTAAATTTTTATAAAAAAAATATCGTACCATAAAGGTTGAATTGTGATTCAAATGTAAAAGGGAATAAAAATTAAGCTCACTCAAAATTCTTACAATTGTTTGAACAAATAATAAAAGCCATCATAAAGTAAAAGAAAAAAAGGAGCTCATAGAAAAAAATAATATATATATATATATATATATATACACACACACACACACACGCAAACACACACACGCAAACAAAATAAAACCGCTTTCATTTTGAACAAAAGAAGCAAAGATCACCATGCAACCAATTTAAAATCTATACTTTTGGCGGTATAGTATTCAAAATAACACAAAGGGCTCCTGGACTTTGGTGGTGCTCTAAAGCAATACGCAAAATCGCAATAAATTTGCATTGTCACTTGCTCATTTTTGAACGAGCTTGGCTCGTCCACGAAAAGAATCTGGGCATTATCAAAAAAAATTTTTTTTTTTTTTTTTATCCTCCAAGTAAGTGACTTTGTCCCATTAACAACATATATTAGCAAAAGTCTACTAATTTTTTTTTCCAAGCTCACTAAAAAGTTTCACTTCAAATTAGTGGCGATGACACGGCGATAAGAGAATGACCTATTAAGACTTTATTTCCAATGATTCAAGGATTGATTTTCCTCACTGTAATAATGGCTCTTAGTCGACCTACTGAATATGACTTGAGCTTGCTTTAACTTAGGAGACGTTTGGTTCATGGATTAGAATCATGAGATTATAACCATTTTTGATTTATGTGTATTTTTTGTGAGAGAAAACACTATAGCGAATCATGAACCATATTTTCAATTTATGTGTATTTTTTGTGAGAGAAAACACTATAGCGAATCATGAACCATGATTCGAATCGGGGTACGAATCTCCCAACCAAACAATCCTTAAGACTCCTTGAGTGTCAATAGATAAAAAGTATGAGTCAGGTTTTTTATCGTTACATATGTATTCTCAGTAAATTTCTCTTAAAGATTACTTCTTCTTTTTTTTCTTTCTTTTAAAATAAAAAACACAAATCAATCACCTTGCTTATACGGTTGGCAATGACATAGACAATAGTAACGTTTAGAGACCTTTTTAGGCTCTCATCCAAAGGCTAACATAAGCAATGCATGTGGTTTTTGTACACTTTTTCTTTACGTTACAACACTGACCATACCGCTTTGTTGCTGAATTTCGGTGCCCGGGGCCTGGGCTTATTAGAACTCAGCCCATGAAGCCCAATCTCTTATTGACACGTGGCGTAAATATACGGGTGTTTTGTAGGAAGGGAACTGAAAAGAAGAGTGCGTGTCACGTGATAGGCGGGAAAAGAATAAGGACGAATCAGAAACAGACATTTCATTTATTTTTTATTAATCATCACTCCGATGCGCTCACATGGTGCGCAATGCGCAGCGTTCATAATCTGGGCCCAATAACAGTTTTCAGCTTGCAGTATGAACCCATGAGTGTAACATGGGCCTTCGGGTTTCTTCATATTTTCAGCCATGAGCTCGCTTGGGCTGAGAGTTGAGACCCCAACTTCTTGTTATTATAGTCCCGTTCATTTTATCGATATAAATTTATAATTTAAGTTTTATTAGAGTAAATTTTTTTTAAAAATAATCAGATCTAATTTTTTTTGTTACAGTAAAAAGCTCTCACATAAAGTTACATCTCAATTCAAATTAAAAATTAGAATCAACCAATTAAATGAGCCTAAGATTCTTGTACTTTGATATTTTGGAGAAAAATAGGATTAATTCCCATGTCCCACTAGGTAAGGATACATATGGATTCTATCGACGGGATCCACTTATATGAGTAGTAGAGATATATTCTTATCGGGATGTATAGAAATATTGGGAAAGGATTTCGAGATATTATATATCAGCAAAAAATATATAAATGACTTTCTAATTCCATTTTGAAAAAAGGCTTTCTAACTCATACTAGTATTTGAACTATACTTGATCTTAGCATA